GAGATGAGGGATGAAAGTTTAGGGATCCGGCTTTAGGCTTCAGGGGTTACGGTTTAAGGTTTGCAAACATGACGGACCCAACTGGGCGGAGACGAAAGTAAACGCTCGAAACAAGTACAGGGCTTGGAGGGTCACGGGAAACACCTGATAAGCCCGATGGGAACCATTTTTGGTTTAGGGGTTTAGGGTTTAGGGGTTTAGGGCTTAGGAGGTTTATAGAGGGGTTTAGGGGTTTGGGGTTTAGGGGCTTTGGAGTTTAGGGTCTAGGGTTGTTGACCCAGGAACCAGACTTTACGGTCTTGAGGATTTATGGTACACCCTCAATGCTGTGGGTCAACAACCCACGGTCCAAATACACGTGCTGGTACCAACCCTAAACGCGGTGCTACATTGCAGACCATTCAGCTCAATGAACTACACACTCACCGGTGCTAGCAGCACTACCTATACAACAATGTTTTCTTGCTCATCAACTATGGCCTTTGAAGCAGTATGTAACCCTAAACCCTAAACCCCGTTTTGAGGGAATGGAGCACCGGAGCCCAGCTGTTGAGTATTGTGATGCTTACACACGAAGGACCCAGAGGAGCCAAGAAGGCAGGGCTTGAGACTCAAAAAAAGGCTAGGGGTAGGGTTTTGGGTTTAGGGCTTAAGGTTTAGGGGTTTAGGGTTTAGGGTTGAAGGAAGGGGTTTGCGGGGCTTTCTGGCTTTGGAGTTGAGATTGAAGCGCCTCCAACTTCGCGGGGAAAAGAATAGGCCGGCCAATTTGGCGCAGTGCATCTGCCCAATCCTGAGCGTTCCAAGCCGAAACGATAAACACACACATACATATACATACACATATACATATAACATATATATATATATACATACATATATATATATATATGTATGTGTACACACACATATCTATATATATATATATATTTGCATGTATGTGTATGTGTATATATATATATGTATGTACCACCATGATCTGATTGCCTGCCCAAACGACAAATAGATGACACACTTCTGCAGTAAAACAGGACTTTGGGAAATCTCGCCTAGTACGTAGATCCTGGAGCAGGCGGAACCTGAAGCATGTTGGAAGGATCACGGCATTTGGTAAAGGCTTCGGGTTTAGGGTTTAGGGCTTATGGTTTAGGCGTTAGGGTTTAGGGTTTACGCTTTAGGGTTTAGGGTTTATGGTGTAGGCTTTAGGCTTTACTGTTTAGGCTTGATAGGTTTAGGGTTTAGGCTTTAGGGCTTAAGGTTTATGGTTTAGGCTTTAGGGTTTAAGGTTTATGGTTTAGGCTTTAGGTTTATGGTTTAGGCTTGGACTTGTGAGCACGACAAACCTGTTATGTAGGGCACGGAAAACCTCTTCGTGCAAGTACAGGGTTCTAGACAAACTTTGTTAGAGCTGGAGGGCAGACTTGCAAAACAAACTTTAGCAAAGAACTGCTGCTGAAACGACTTGCGAATGAGGCATTCTCAACCCTAAACCTTAAACCCTAAACCGCATTCTTCGCACTAGACCGACACTCCTGAGGCCGGCGCAATCATCATGAAGTTGTACGCAATCCTGCAGCAAGCCAGCATCAGCCCGTGAGGCCCATTTGCTCAGATGGCTTGCCCCCCTAAACCCTGAAAACAAAGGCCTAAACCCTAAAGGCCGAAAGCCTGAACCCCCAAACCCCTAAACCCTAAACCCCAAACCCCCTAAACTCTAACCCCAAACCCTATAAACCCTAAACCTCCAAACCCCCTAAACTCTAACCCCAAACCCTAAACCCTAAACCTCCAAACCCCCTAAACCCTAAACCAGAACAACCCCAAACCCCTAAACCCCAAACCCCAAAAGTCCTCAATCCACGAACCCCACAAGGACGAAAGCCCTAACCAAGAACCCTAAAGCTCACCCCAAAAACATACAAAAAAAAAACTGGATTTGGAGTTTAGGGGTTTGTGGTTTAGGGTTTCGGGTTAAGGGTTTAGAGTTTGGGGCTTTTCGGGCAGAGGGTTTGAGTGTTTAGGGTATTTGGGGGCTGGGTTCTTGTTGAGGGATCTATCTTGAGTTACCACAAAAAAAGCATTTTACTCACTACAGATCCCTATTGTTGTAACATGACTTAAACTCCTTAGCAACAACCCAGTGAAGGCACAACGACTGATATAGGCGGTCTTAACAATCCTGAAGGGTCCACATACCCAAGCAGTACATACTTTGGCCTAAAGGGGTACTTTGGGGCCAAAGCCTATGCTATGATGGATTGGCCGACGCCAAGCCAACACGGGAACTACGATTGAGACTATAGAAACTCAAGACCTCAACAGTCCGTCATGCCGCCTTGTCTGAGCCAGTTGAAGTAGATCCAAGTCGGATAAACCTCACACATCTAAGACATATCTCGCCCTGCACAGTCGGCGCTTACTCAGGATTGCTTGTCTGATAGGGAGCTTCTCTCTATCGTCGATGCGAAGAGGAAGAAGCCTCTTGATGCCGAACCTGCCCTTTGAGATAACCTCTCTTTCGGGGTAGGGTTTAGGTTTTAGGGTTTAGGGTTTAGGGTTTAGGGTACCCTAAACCTCAACCCCGAGGGGGTGCCTGCAACTTGCAGCCCGAGAACCCGAGAACCGCCCCGAACCGCCCCGAACCGCCCGAAGGTCAAGCTCTTTTTCCCCAAAGCTGAAAACCTTCTTGAAGAATATTTAGGGTTTGGGGTTTAGGGTTTACGGTTTAGGCTTTAGGGGTTTAGGGCTTAGGGTACAAAGAACTCCAACAACTCCAAGACTGCTCTTTAAGCAAGCCCCAACGAAGCCACAAGTTGTAAACCCTTAAAACCCTGACCATAAAAGCCAACAAGGGTCCTGTGCCGTCCAGTATCGTCCTTCGGTATGTCGTAAAAGTCGGTGATCCTTCAAAGGCAACTCTGGGATGAAGGGTAGATGGGTGGGTTCAGGGCTTGCAGGGTTTAGGGACCAGGTAAGGGTTTAGGGTTTACATCAAGGGTGCCTATATCCCTTCTTGGGAGGACCTTGCATCGCGCCAGCGAGAGCCTGGTAAAAATGGCGTTTCCAAAAGCCTCCACAGCAAACATGGAAGTGACCGCTTTACACGAACAGCCACGTTCCCCACGAATGTTTCTGCGTCTTACACGCACACTGACATGCCCTGCATCATTGCAGTGTGGACACAATCCGGCACGACCCTCAAAGCCTACATCCCCCCCCCAGCAAAAAAAGCAGAAGCGTAAATTCCCGCCCAAAAAATCTAATTAGCCCCAAAATCCAGAAACCCTAAACTTCTCAGACTTAAACCCCAAATCCTAAACCCCTAAAACCCTAAACCCTAAACCCTAATCCCCAAAACCCAAAACAGAGGAAACCACCTGAAAAAAAAAAAAACTCTGGGAGACTCGTGGACCTGGCCTCAGGTTCACCCATTGGTCCGGGCCTTTGACGCCAAAGAGCTCCCCTTTCCTCGCCCAAGCGTTCGGGAGTAGGGATTTAGGGGTTTATAGGGTTTATAGGGTTTATAAGGTCTACAGGGTGTCTAGGGTTGCTGGTTTAGAGTCCCGGCCTTTGGCGCCTAAGAGGTCCCCTTTTCTCGCCCGTTCGGGAGTAGAGTAGGGGTTCGGTCCATCTATCGACGCATCGGCCTAACTGTCAAACTCAAACAAACGCGATGCATCCATAAATACATCCATCCGTTCATGTCTCCATCCATCCATCCATCCATCCAACCAGTCATCCATCCATCCAGCCATCCATCCATCGGTCCATCCATCCATCCATGCTTGCTTACAGAACCCTTTATAACCTTATATAGTCACCCCTACCAGTGACCCTGAAATGCTGAGGCATCAGATGCGGTGGTATTTCTAGAGTAAGACTGCCTCTGAACTGGGCCCTCGCTCAATATAGTGATCTAGTACCTGAGCCAGCATCTTGCCTATGCTTCTTAGGGTTTAGGGTTTAGGGTTTAGGGAAAAACAAGCATCACAACCCTAAACCCTAAAACCCCAATGAGGTGCACCAAATTTAGGCAATCGAGGGCCTGGGGTAGAATTGAGCGCCAGGGCTTTGGTTGCATGTCACGACAGAGTTCAGGCCGGGTTCTCTGGATTTACCTCCAACCCTAAACCCTAAATCCTGCATCCTGAATCCGAACCCTAAACCCTAAACCCTAAACCCTAAATCCTGCATCCTGAATCCGAAACTCTACTTTAGAGGATCAGGGCACCGAATATTGCTCAAGAGCTATATACTTATGACCCATAGGCTCCTTAGTAGTTCCTTTCTGGGGATTACCTTCTAGAAGTCTAAATATGAACCATAAAAAAGGAACTACTTAGGAGCCTATGCACAGTGCCTACAGCATTTCCTCGAGGAACAACTAGTATAAGGTTTTAAGCTTAAAAGTTTTAAGGCTACGATTTTTAGGGTTTAGGGCTTCGGGCCTTAGGGTTTAGGGTTTAGGGGTTTAGGGTTTTGGGTTTAGGGTTTAGGGTTTAGGGTTGGGGCTTGGTTTAGGGTTTAGTGCTCCGGGTTGCAGGTCTCGAATACTACGCTCTGTGCGGACTTTGGTGCCTACACCCCTAGTACAGAGCAACTCGGACCCGTGATCATAACCCCACACCCTAACATCCTTGCAGAACCATGACAAGTCTCTTAGAATCCTTGTCCTTGCGGAAAGCTGGATAGAGCCCCAGCAGACCCTCCATTGCAGCAACAGGCTCCACAGGGCGCTACCATAGGTTGTGGTCGTTGCCACCTTTCACAGGGGGGTTGCGCTTCTGTCTTTGCCAGAATAAAACCAAGTCCGTTTAGGAACAGCTCGAGCAGATGCTTATTTTGCTTTCAATTCTCCAGATGAGGTTCTTATCACGGAAGTTATGTACTTTAGGAACCTGATTAAGAAACCCTGGCCCTATAACCCCAATATATTGGGATTCAAGAACCCAAATAAAGATCTCGGGTGTCTTAATCAGGTTCCTCGATTACACCTTAGGGTTGGGTGGTGGGGCCTTGGGCCTGAAACCCTCTCGGCCGCTGTTTTGCCCTGCTGAGGCAGTGACTATGGCTTGACATTGCTCTTGCGTTTGCATATACTCTCCACTGTAGGGGTTCTGTCATAAATCTATATGAGTTCTTGAGATGTAATTGTTCGACAAAGAACCCATGAGGATTCTGTCGGGGTTCGTTCAAGGATGAATTAAGGACCCTATGAGCAATTTCTCAGGGATTTCCGGTCTGCATTACAGCAAGTTTTTGTTGCTTTGGTTCTTGTGGCAGCATCCTTACCATACGGTCATGGGCTAGCCACAAACAGGGAATACAACAAAGACTACAGGGGCCACGAGTATGGGATGTAAGCCCTCGTATTATGCATAAGGTGTGGATGGTATTACCCTACATCTCCAACACCCCCCTCCGCCGGTCCTACCTGGTCATCGCCGAAGAACAACATCCTGAGAACGGCGGCTTAGGGTTTCGGATTTAGGGTTTCCAACTGCGACTTGGAGGTGCCCAGAAGAGCAGCCTTGGTTTAGCCACGAACGGTGTTTCCAAGAAGACCGACAATCAACTGCAGTCCAACCCAAACATGTTCGAAACTCCATACCCCAACCCTCGAAACCCTAAACTCTACATCGTAAAACTCTAAACCCAATCGGACGCCGGGTATGTGGCTATACCTTGGTTTCGACAGTTCTAGTGCCTACTATCCATGTGTTATGGCTGTACCGCGTAGGGTTTGAGCTTGTGCCGTGTTACGCTGCATCCAGGGTGCATTGCAAAGGTCACACCATTGAGGCCCTCCCCTAAACCCTAAATCCTGAACCCTAAACCCTAATCAAAAACGTCATACTCCGGCACAGAAGCCTAGCCTTATGCTAAGCCCCGGAGAAAGCGACGCCTTTGTTGCCGCCATGTCGCTGGGTAAAAACTGTCTCGGGAAAAGCCATGCCATAGTTCCACTCCTCACCTGCGGTTTAAGTTTGGGGTTTAGGGTTTAGGGTTTATATTGGGTGTGTTGTCTCTAAGGGTCTGGGCGTTTTAGGGCCTGGGTCTGTTGTGCTTCTAACGTGGAAGCCCGAATAGTCAGACTCGGGTTCTGAGCGGTTTCTTTGCACCACGGTTAGGGTTTAGGGTTTAGGGTTTAGGGTTTAGTCAAGTCAGTCATGTGTACAAGCCCTCTGAACAAGTTTGCTTAGGTTTAGGAGCCAGGGTATGTGAATGCTATCTGCTCGAAGCCCTATAGAATCATGCAAACTCCGACAGAACCAAGCCAACATCAAATCCTACGCCCGGATACAGACCCGGAGTAAGGTACCCTAACCCCCAGGTACCTACTATCTAGGGCCCTAGGGGTTCTAGTACCCTATATAGTAGGTACCTGGGGGGTTAGGGGTACTTTGACAACTAGCGGGGGCTGCTCTAAGGTTGCAAAAAATACGGGCCGTGATTACAAGAATGCTCCTTGAGGGCATAATGCAGTAGATGAAACCTACATGGGCCGTTAGTTCTAACGGGAGATTATATGGAGGTTTCCGAAAACAAATACTAGGATCCCTATTAAAAGGACCCCACAATAAGGTACCCTAATTGTCGGAAAGTCTCATATGATTCCCAACAGCTCAGACCCCATTGGTGTCCAGGACTTGTGGTGGTCTTGCACGGGTCTTGTAGGGGTTCCTTCTTGTTAATGACTCACGCAAGGGCTTTGGGGTTCAAAGGATTGGTTTAGGTTTTAGGGATCGGGATTTAATGTAGGGGCCTTAATAAATAGAATAGGGTTTGGGGGTATGTTCTACTCTAATTAAAATAGGGAACCCCCATACTAGTGTTGGTAATAATTTAGGCCCGTATACCGGAGTTTAGGGTTTAGGGATTATAGGGCTTTGGGCCCTGAGGAACTTAAGACCGAAGGCCTGTGAACCATATCCCTCAGCCTTCAACAATCCTACATACCCTAAACCTTATATACCCTAAATCCCACTAAACCCTAGGGTTTAGTGGGGTTTACGGTTTAGGGTTTAAACCCTGAAAACCACACAACCCTAAACCCTAAACCTGCTTCCAAGCTGAGCCTTAAAGTATATCCGGAGCTTGAGGCAACGATGCGCGAAGGCGATGCCAGGAAGCCCCTGGTCTGTGTATAAGCCGATGAAAGTCCTGTTGAAACCCTATTACCGGCTCCTTCAAACGTTCCTTTAAGGGCTTCTTTTAGGGATTCCCTTAAGGGCTTCCTTTAGGGATTCTGTTAAGGCTTACTCTACGGATTCCTTTAAGGGCTTACTTTAGGGACTCCTGTAAGGCTTACTTTAAGATGTATTCCTGACGGGTTCCAGTAGTGGGGTTAGGGCCGGGCCAGGGGCTCGGAGTTTAGAAGCCTTGCCTTTCGCCCAGCCATGTGGCGTCCGCCAGTTGCCGAAGCCAACGGACTCGTAGAAGAGATCCGGATTCATGTATCTTGGCTTAGGGTTTAGGGTTTAGGGTTTTTTGGGGCATCTTGGGTTAGTCGAGAGAAGTGCTGGAAAGTTAAAGGGTCCAAGTACCAGGGCAGTATAAAGCATAGGACACAGGAATAAACCTCAACCCCAAAGCCATAAACCCTGAACCCTAAACCCTATAATATAAGCCCTATAAGCCCTATAAGCCCTATAAACCCTATAAACCCCTATACACCCTAAACCCCAAACCCTAAAAACCCTATCAACCCCAAATCCTAAACCCTATGAACCCTATGAACCCTATAAACCCTATACACCCTCAACCCTAAAGACCCTATAAACCCTTAAAGAATCCTGCGAAAGCACTGGTCGACGTTCGCGTCGAAGGTCACTGCATCGTCCCGGCCGCCTCTTGCCATGTTGTAGCCATCGAACTTTCGAATGACCTGGTTAAGGGCTTTGAGGGGTTAGGGTTTAGGAATAGGGTTTAGGGTTTAGGGTTGAGGATTTAGAGTTTAGGAATGAGGGCTTAGAGTCATGCTTGCTAGTTGAACTTGCGGATCTGGGCGCTTTAACAAAGGTCATGGGTATTGTCGTTTAGGGTTTAGGGTTTAGGGGTTTAGGATTTAGGGTCGATCAGATTGCTGGTTTCAGTAGCCATACTTGTAGTGCGACCCTGTTCGAGAGAGTGCCTACGCCCCCTTAAACCCTAAACCATAATGAAGCCGAGCATCACTTTTCGCGGCAGGTTCGGTGGAGAACCTGAACTTTGGTGCTGAGTACCCCAGACCAAAAAGCAGGTTAGTTGAAATTCAAGTTATAGTAGGATTATACCCTGAACCGCAAACCCTGAACCCCCAAAAGGGTTAAAGGTTACCTATTCAGCCCCTAGGTGAAGGTTGCGACCGCACTGAAGCTCAGGTAGCAGCAGTTTAGGGTTTAGGGGTTTGGGTTTAGGGTTTGTGCCGCTCTCTGCTCCTCCTAACATCGCAACGACGAAGTCCAGGACAGACGACGAGTGGCACTACCGGCTCCACCACAGCGGCCTAGCCGTACCTTTCCAGGATCGGGTTTGGGACCCCAGTAGCTTGTAATAGCAGGGAGTCCATTCCTGACTTTTTAACCCCATCAAGCCGGGCTACCCAAAAATTGAAACGGCATATAATGAGGTACCCGCTGGGGGGTCTCCGAAAGGTGTGATGTGCTGGTTTCACGAAGCCTCTGGGACACTCCTGAAACTTTGTTTTGCTCGGGGGGCCGAGGGTTTAGGGTTTTAGGGTTTAGGGTTTAGCTAGTTACTTCGACGAGGATTTGGGCAATTTTCAAGGGGTATGCTATAGCATAATTATGATAAGGGCCATAAGGAATACGGCTCACAAACAAGCAGACGCCTGCAGTTTACAGCCGTTTGCAGCACCGGCAACGAGCTTGTAGTCATAAACCCTGAACCCCAAACCCCTATATAAACCCTAAACCCCTAAACCCTAAACTCCTAATTCCCAAACCCTAGACCCTAAACCCCCCAAAAACCTCAACCTTAAACCCTAAAGCCGAGTAGCTCCACACGCAGATCAGGATCCCATATCCTGCTGAGAGCTCGGGCTGAGGGTTTAGGGCTTTAGGGCGTTTGGGGTTCAGGGCTTTTTTTAGAGTTGAGGGCTTTAGGGGTTTAGGGTTTAAGGTTTAGGGTTATCTAGGGCTTAGGGCTTTTGGCTTTAGGTGACGTCAAGTCTCCAGTCGTGCAGCTACTCAGAGACTCCAGTAGATTCAGGGAGGTCTAAGCCCAAAGCCCTAAGCCATATTTTTTCCCTAACCCTAAACCCTAAACGCTAAACCCTCAACCCTAAACCCTAAAACCTAAACCCCGGAAAAAAAAAAACAGGCCACAAGGCGCCAGAAACATCCAGAAAACCTCAACTCCGCATCCTAAGCTTGCCTTTAAAACTCAAAATCCTAGTGTGAAGCCGAAAGCCCCACTTAAAGCCCACAGCCCCCAACAACCCGCAGCCAAGTCTCCGTGGTGCTGTAGCCACTGGTTCCTTCGTTTAAAGGAAACTACAGGTG